ATCCGGTGTTGGAGACACGCCATTCTTTCTAACACAAGTTCTCCTGGGCTTTTTCAGTAGGTTGATTTTCTCACTGCCCGAACAGTTGTTCAGGGCGGGTATGGGGAGATCGGTGGGGTATGGGTACGTTCATTGTGATCGGTATCGCAACAACGAAGAGGCAGTCCTTTCTATCAAGCAGAGATGGGGTTACACGGCTGTGGGCGTGCGCTTGCGAATAGCCTTGGATGTGGCGGTCGCAGTCTCGATTGGCAGTGACGTGCTGGGTTTTGCCTTTTGGGGCACTGCTTGTTAGTGCTCAATGAAACTCTTTTCTGTGTGGCCCTGGTCAAGGTTATGGTTTCTTTATGTTGTTTGCTCCCCCTATAATAAATGAGAGGTTTATTAATAACAGATCTGGAAAATTTGGATGACGGAATATTGGAGTTTCGAGCTTTTTTTCATCTGATTCTGGTTTTGGGAATTATGGTTCTAACGCCAGCCCGCTAGTTAGAGAGTTATTTTCTGGGCCCGATGATCAACTTTCTTTGGAAGACTCCTATTCCAGCACAGTTTCATCTAGTGTCCGTTTCGAGCGAAAGCATGTGATAGCAAATGTGAAGAGAGTCAAAGGTTTTGAAGCAGACCTTTCACCCTGATGTTTCTTGGATTCTTTCCTTTGTATTTTTGGTAGAGGCCTTGTCTTCATTAAGGACGAAAAATTCTATTAAAAGAGTATTCAGTCAACATGAAATGTACTAAGGAAACTCCTGCAAGTTCCAGATGGAGCTGATTAAGTATGTATGTTAAAGGAACTTCATGATGAGCACCGGGCCTCATTTTTTATTAACTCGGCCTCATTTGGCCACTCCTTGGCCGCATATTCTACCGAACGGGCTATTTTTTTTTCTACGCCTGTTAAGAACCACAATGATGAATTTTTTGCTTGTTTCTGCGTCAAAGAGAAGTGCAATCTTTGATTTTTCTTTTTCGGCTGTTGCGGTCTGAAGTGGTTAACGAGGAAGAATTTCAACCGTTTTCGACTTTATTCGATTCGTTTGTTCGATACGAGTTAGGCATTCTTTGTGGCCCCGGTGGGCCTCAACTTTTGGCCTTCCCATCTTGCATTCTTCCTTATCTTTGTCCTATCTGCCCCTTGCCTTTCGCCTCTCTTTGTCAGGCACGCTGTCCGTATATCCCTCATCGAGAAGTAACAGATGTGGTCGTTGGAGGTAGGATCATACCCCTGTTAGTTTTACTACCATAGGCCGCAATCATGCACTCCAACGGACTCAAAATTCAACTGATTTGGAAAACAATCACCACACCTCGTTCCCAAATTAAAAAGCTTGTAATACAATACTTTCTACATCTGGTATTATACGAAACCACCTTATGCAAGCAACTCATCATACCAATGGTGGAAAAGATATCAGCTCTGGTTCAACGTGATCAGGTGAAAGAACATAAATGAATTTATTATCATTCTCATCAAGCAATATGATCCCAATTCTAATTCCTTAAAAGGGAAGAAAATTGGTATACTTTTCCGTCCTCTTTTCTCTAATGAAACGTTACACATAGGTGGGAAGAAAAAAAATTCTCTCCTAATATCAAAAATAATTCCCTAAAAGTTCAAAAAAAAATCGAGATGTTTCTTTTTTTTTTTTTGTATGATATTATTTTGGTACTTAAGTGAAAATCGTATTCTCTTACTAATGAGCTCTAAAATGGCATATGTTTTTGGGGGTGTGGGGGTGTTGTTTGTCACACATGCGGCAATCTTTGTTTAATTTGTAAAATTAGTTTTTTTATTATTGTTGTGAATGTTTTAGATGGGAGATACCGCTTAGGTCTGTTGTATAAAAAAAACAAAATAAAACATAAAAAAAAAAAATTTCCTTCTCGTTGTCTTCCTTCTTACCCTACTTTTTTCTTTGAAAAAATGAGAAAAAAAATGTTGATGAAATGTATTAGGATTTTTGTTTTTTTTTTTTTTTTCTTTTGGACGAAATTAAAAAAAAACACTATAGAAGAGAGGTATTTTTTTTAATTAGGTGAGACAGTTGAAGAATAGGCTCTCTCCACACAAAGTTTTGTCCATGTATGGGTATTGGGATAGTTTGGTATTGTGGTCAGATTCGGAGGGATATATTTATATTTATTATTTATTATTTTAAATTTATTTTTAATGTATCTCATGTGTATGATGTAAGCTTTCATTACTCATGGTTTTATTTATGTGAAATTCTTGATAATTTTAATATTTTTTCTATCTTAATTTTTGTGTTTATTCTTCTTTTAAAGGATAGAGTTATGGTTTGTGTGATATTCTAATTATTGATCAAAATTCCCCTTTTTCTTTTCCACAAATTCAATTGCTGTGAATTAAAATACTGACTAGCTATGAGTACCAGTAGTAACTTTTGGAACATTACACAAGCCTACAGAAAGGTATAATAATCAAAAACAAAATGAACTGTTAGTAAAAGTGTAGTTGATATGTTTTCAAAGGTTTGTTGCAATTGTTCTTTATACATCTTTTCCTTTTTTTTTTATTCAAGAGGCATAATAGATTGTGGTAAGTGAAATAGATACTAAGTATAGTCAAGTCTTGAGAATCATTTGATAAGACCACGCTCATTTTGGTATATCCTAGAATGGTGATGCTGATAAAGATAATTGTATGCAGAAAAATATTAAGACTAGGTTGCCTTTTATGAAATAATCAAAAGAAGTGGAATCCAACTTCCAAATATTTATAAAACTTATTAAATCATTTTTTTGTTTACGCACATTATAAAACAACCTTTTTCATTGGCCAAAAAAACACATTCATAAATTGATATTTTATGGCACTGCTTTGCTTCCCTCCTGTCCTCCCTGCCAGTCTTCAAGTCAATCTTCACTGCCCACTATTCCCTCCCATCCTCTCTATAAGATCACCCTGTGTGACTTCGTAGTACGAACTATGTTGCCAACTGCAAAACTGCTTTTGAAAATTGTTTCGAGAATTCATTTTGATTCTTTTATAAATTTTAAATGCTACATTTACTTTTACAACTACGCTTACAGAAAAAATAGCATATGCATATCATTTTTAATGTTGCTTTATTGTATTTTCACATATTTGAAAACTTGCTCCTAACATCTCTCCTTTCCAAAAGTGTACTCAAGCAAAATAGCATAATATTATAGAGTGGTTGCATCACTTTTTAACTTCAGGAAAATTTATGCTTTTGCAAAGAGCAAAGGAGACATTTATATTTTGGTGATAGTAAAATTACTTACATCCATTACAGGTGTATAAATCATTTATTTAATTTTTCTTGGCATTATAAACATTAATTGTCTTATGAATTAATAGTTATTTATGAAATAAATATCATTCGGCATATAATTAAAATATAGTATTGGAGAATTATCAAATAAGACCACTAGATCATGTTTGGTAACCAATCAAGTATTGTAATATAATGTTACAATTCTAATATTGCAAGTTTTAACCACTTTGTATCAATTCTAAGGAACTTTAAATTTCATTTCATTTTAACTATTAATCTTTCAAAAGAGACAGACCAATGTTAGTATAATTAATAGAGAACCATAGAATATTAGAATACGTTTGAGAACTTTTCTTTGTCATTTTACAAATATCTTATCAACATAACTGAGTTAATAGTCTGTCATGGA